GTTAATATCCTCTTAAGTCATCGTCTATTTTTCTCTCAATTCTCGTTTCCATCTAATCATCTTGGTCTCTTTTTCTCTTTCATATTCATATTCAAAATATTCATATTCATATTCTCTTTCATATTCAAAAATTTTGAAACAGAGCACAAGTACAGATTTAAACAATAAACGGCAGGAAAGTTTTTGACAACAGTGATAAACATCTGGCAGCTTAATGATTTGCTGTTTTGCGTGATTTAATTCTAACACAAATAAGAATGTTTAACTTGACAAAAACATATAAATCGACCTGGTAATGAAGTCTTCATTAAACTATTAAAGCTTTTTTGGGTTAACAAAAAACTGGTATTTGTATCAAGAGGCGCAACAATTTATTAGTCGGATTACGAAACAAATTCCAATCAGTAAATGCACTTTGGTAAAAGCCATATCTGTCGTTCTCAGTGAAAGTCGGGGGTACATGAAAATAGTTTAGAAAATGCCCATTAAACTGCCGGGTGTTGTGTCGGCGTATTGTGTAAGATTGTAATTATAGAATACGTTAACAGAATTAAATCGTTGAGTGAGTTTGCCGACATCAGCCGAACATTTTTAAATGTGACCCGTTTTTGAGAAAACATAAACCAGAAACTGTTTTTTCAGAACTACTGTTTAACGATTTTACTAAAAAGACTGAGGGATATTATTTTTGTTGAGTATTTTTTGACCCGCATTACAGGGATTCGTCAGTTCCTGTATCATAAAACTAATCAACTGATATCTGGCAGTATATCTGATTTGCTTATGATAAAAGCTCTCATATTTCTGTCTTCTTTTTGTTACTAATTTGTCAGCATGCTATTGTGCTAAATAGCATTTAAAATTGAAAGATTCTAGAAAAATTACAACACTGATATGATTTAAAATCAAGTAATTTATTTTTATCATTTTAGTAGTAAAATTATTGTTAGTCTTATTACTATTACCGTATTATTCTACAGTTATTATTATAACTGCTGTTACCGGTTATTATCATTATTTTCACTATTATTAATATTATTGCATTAATTATTTAACTATATTTGACTATCCTCTCTTGCAAAAAATTTCTTGCCTTCGGTTTGCTTATTCCTCTTTGGCATAAATTTTTTTGGAAAGGTTTTAATGCGTATTACCTACATATAAAGACGGGGAAATACCAAGAAGAAATTGAAGATCAGGAAGAGAAAAAAGGAGTAACTGTATTTTATAAAGGTATATAAAAAATTTTTACATCTCAAAAAATGGCGTAAAAAATTGCTGTCTTTTTTTGTTAGTTTTATATCAGTGATTACCAGCTCAAATTTTTGACGTAAATTGTTATGAAGAATTTGAGAACCGTCATTGTAGTGATTTTATGTTTTTGAAGAATACTTCATAAAATTACTGAAGATAACCAAACTTTAAAATATTATCTTTTTGCTTCTTCTTTTTTATTCTTATTTATTACAATTTTTAGTTCTCCTCCAAGCTTTCCTTCCTCTGCTTCCCAAATTAACTACGCGAATAGAAGACAGCTTGTGGTACAGGTTAAACTAAAAAGGTAAGAAAGAGCTGCAGAAAAAAAATAAAAGTGCTGTCTCTTAATTCGCTGTTACCTTCATCTTCTGTGTTCTTAGAAATCAGTAACATTAATAATCGTTATTACGAGTTTTTAATGTTTAAATTTCGTCTTTTGACAAAAACCGAAAACAGTTTTTTAATCTACTTCGATGCCTGGTTTCAACCGGTTATCAGCTACAAGTTTTAAAAAAATACTTAACTGCTCGGTAGCGTTACTATAGAGTTTAAGAAAGTATTTGAACATGAGTAATCAGTGTAAACAAAAAATATGTTATAAAAAATTAAAATTTATAATTAGAGATGGGAGCTTTGAATCAGTTGAGATAAGCGGTCGAAACTGAAAAACAGCTAAATTTCTTGAAATTAAAAGAACCAATAGTCGAAGGACGAAGAAATGAGAAAGGTAAGGTGGATTTTCTCTTTTTGAACGTTGTTTCACAACACTTTCTCAGCTTCTTTCGTTTCTCTGTTCTTTTTTCAAAAAAATCATCTTTTTTGCAAAACCATCTATCGAGCTTGATCCAAATTTTCAGTTGGTATCGTCTAATATTGCTAACGCATTCTGTGAAGAGTTTTCGAAAGAGTTTTGTAAGATAAAGTCTTTTGCTGTAGCCGAAAGTGTACAGGCTTTCAAAAATCAATGACGATTGGAAGCAGTGTAGAAGAAGAAGAGAAACAAGAGCCCTACATTTTTCACACATATTTTTAAACTGCCAATTATTAATTCTTAAAAACGGTAATTTCAAAAAGATTGAATTGATTTTAACGGCAAATTTTTTTCAGCTAGTCTAGACTGCGGTCAGACATCAAACATCGTTGTTGAATAGATTTTTTTGCGAGATAGTTGTTTATGTTCAATTTTGATTGAGTATTATCAGTTCTTAGATGAAACCTTAACTGTCTAAAAGATCACTACTGCGCTGCTGTTGTCTAAGCTTATTGCAAAGAAAAAACTGACATGGTTTCATAAAACTCTGAAAAATAAGATGACTTACCTCAAAAGATTTCATTTGTGAAATAGTATAGTCACTAAATTTTTGTTACTAGCAGTGGTTCACTTTCGATTCACTGCTTTAACTTTTGTTTTTTTTTTTTAATTTTACCTTCTAATAGAACTAAAAAAAGTTTTTTTTTTCTCAAGCTGAAAAGCTATTATTATCTCTAACAGTATTTTAAAGTAAAACTTCTAACAGTGTTGTTGAAGCTAAAGTAAAAAAATAAATTTTTTGCAAGGTTTCATTGCTATTTTTCAAAAAATGATCATTCTACATTCTCTATAGGTATTTAAATATATATATAAGAGACTATAAATGATACCTATAGCAAAGAAATATAAACCATAGCTGATACTTGAGGCTATTATTCACTTCGGTGAGTTGAAAAAGTGAAATAAAATCTGTTTGATTTACTAATCTGTAGCAACGCCAACAACAGTAGCAGCCCAACCCTTAACAGCTCTAGAAAGGACATTAAACTGGCTAGGAAGTTCAGCAATCTATTACCTCTTCCGCGATTTCATATACTTATTATGGTAAAAACAGCTGTAACATAGCAAACGAAGAAGAATTGGTAACTCTGTTGACAGCTGTTCACTGCTTCATTAAAATCTAAAGCAAAAAGGATACCCCTCAAACAATTTAAAAACGTTTGCAACCATAATGATGTTACAAAAAATCTAGACATTAGCACTAACAAAAAAATTACTTTTTAACAAGTTTTGTCTACCAGGTCACACTTTGACCGACGCTTTGTGATCATCAATGGTCGACAAAACAGCAACTTGTACAGTTATTTTTCAAAAATATGGCTGGTCAAAAAGCAACTAATTTGTTTGACGAAACGAAACACCAAAACGTCTTTGTAAAAAAACTTTTTTTTGTTTTTAGCTTGTTTTTTTTCGTACTCTTATATCCACAATCACAAGCATGCTTCTTGGTTCTAAGGTCACTTTTTATGTTGTAGAGAAAACACTTGTTATACGTCATCAAGACTTACATCTTGAACAAACGATTAAAATGGCATTTTTTAACGAAAACTTGTGGGTTATAATAAAATTTACATATGTGCATACACAGATTCTACAGAGATAGAACGTTTGATACCAGTATTGGTTCTTATCAGTAAAATAACAAGTTTGCAGTCAACAGGCATTTTCAACTTAACGACGCTTATTTTCCTGTTTTCAAACAGTTATGCAGCTCATTCAGCTGATTTCACTGTTATTTACAGTTTTAGCAATTCATCTATGTTTTGCAAAACGTTTTCGTAGACCAGATTTTTTCAAAAGGTAAGACGATTTAATAGCATTAAATGAAAAACTGTTATTTTAGTTACCTGAAAATACAAAAATACCAATCAATAAAAATTATTGCTGTTATTAGATACTTATTGGTTCTGAACTTTTAGGGTCAGATATTTACCGGCAGAAAACAGCTTGACTGAAGACAATCATCCAAAAATTTGGGCTTTACTAGTCGCTGGATCTAACGGATGGTATAATTATCGACATCAGGTAAAAAGTCTCTTTACTAATGTTGCAAGTTTTTGGATCTCGTTTAACTCACACCGTATTTTTTTTTTGGTGAGTGTAAGCTTGTAAAGCATTTGTAGGTGCTGAGGCAGTAAGCTAGGATTTCTTTTGATCATAATTGGTAGTAAGAACTGGCCTAGTAATAAAGACTACTTATTTATGATATGCTTTATGTTCTAAAACTGATTAACCCACTAAAATTAATCGGCTGTTATAATTCCGACAGTAGTTATAAAGCCAAAGTCGTGCTGTTTTATAGAATTTACTGAAAGTACAATTTGCTAAACGTTTTCATATTTTACTCATTTTTTTTTTAGTTTTAAGTTTTAGAATTCAAAAGACGAAGTTTTTTTTAGCTTTTGAAGAATTGGTTAAAAAAATCTTAACTACTTGAAAGAAAGATTTTAGCTTTTAAGATTTTTAAGTTATTTAGATCTTTTTTTTTTTTAAATTTTTTGCTGTGGTTAGGCATTTAAAGTTTCAATTCTTCACGCAGATAAAAAGATTAATCTAACAGTTCTTTTCTTGATGCTAATTAAAATTTTGAAACTTTAACTGCTTTTTGTGACCTAGAGCAGCTAAATAACCAAATTATAACATTGTTAGCAAGTTTTTTTAAGTAAGCAGATTAGAAACAATAGTAGAATTTCAAAAGTTATTTTTTTGCTCAGAAAGTTACAAGTTAATAGACCTTCGGAAATCAATTATAATTTTCTTATATGAACTCTTATTTCTTTTCTACCTTTCTACTCTGTCTACTGATTCAAAAAAACAACTTATTTACAGTGTTTTATTGAAAACCTTTCTTATCAATTTTCTGCTGCTCAACAACATGCAAAACAGAATTTATGAGAAAAATAAGAGAAAAGAAACAAAAGCTTGAATATCAAAAAAGCTTTTAGTTGTATTTTTGAAAGAAATAAGCTTTTTCTGAGTCAGATATACTTTACATCTACCTTGTCACGGTAGTCCTACTAAGACAAAAACTAGGCAGAGTGATACTTGACTGTCTATAAAATATATTAACTCATTTTATTATTGATACAGTCAGATGTCTGTCATGCATACCATATACTGCGAAATCATGGAGTACCAGAGGAACAAATTGTTACTATGCTTTATGACGACATTGCGAATAATAAGCAGTAAGTCAATGTTAATTATTCATTTTGGCTATATTATTCTGTCATTTATAATATTTCATTTTTATTCATTTATTTGTTCATTTTTATAGTATCTAAAGAGCAAATAAAGAGGTTAATAGTTTGTAAAACTTTCAAAAATTGTAAATTTAAAGTTGATTAAAAGAATCTTGTTTTTTTTAGGTGGTGTTTCATTTTCACAGTTTATCAATATGATTTTGTTCAAGATTTGTCCATTGCTGATTCTTCAAATTTTTATTAATTGACTAAAGTTTCAGTTTGAGCAAGAAAATGGCAGCTATTTTCCGCTATTAAGAATATAATATATTCGAATTAAAGCGTTTAGGACAGGCTTCATGTTATTCAAAACTGTCATTCGTCAACTCTTGCATCATTGCTGAAGAATAACTGGAAAAACTATACTTGACTAAATGTTTGCCGCAATAATAACTTTAGGAATCCCTATCCTGGAAAGATTTTTAACAAACCACACGGAGATGATGTTTATGCTGGAGTGAGGATTGATTATTCTGGCAAAGACGTTACACCAGAAAATTTCTTGGCAATACTGCAGGGAAATAAAACTGGCATTAAAGGTGGTAATGGTAGGGTTTTAGACAGTAATGGTGGCGACCACATCTTTGTTTACTTTTCGGACCATGGTGGAGTTGGACTTATCTCTTTCCCATTTTCAATTGTAGGTATTCCATATATTTGTAAACAGAACGCTTAATTTAAATATTTTTGGTTTAAGATTCAATTATGTCATTTAGATTTGTATTTAACCAAACATCTTGTAATTGACCTCAATGCTGTAGCTTCTTCCTGATATTAGGCATCATTCTAAAAGAAAGTTTTTCAAGCTTCTATGATTATTACAGCTAACAGTCAAAGATCTAAACGATGCCTTGAAGAAGATGCACAAAAAGAAGAGTTTCAACCAACTGGTATTTTACCTTGAAGCATGTGAAAGTGGTTCAATGTTTAAGAGCGTTTTGAAAAAGAACATAGATGGTATTTGATTGATGTATCTTGTAGGTCTACGTCCTTAAAACTTTTGAGATGCAATCTTCTGCAGCTGCAATAACGATCAAAACTTTTACAAAATACTAGTAATTTATTTTTGAGTTATTTGCCGTCGAATAAAGGTTAGTGGAATGTCAAAAGACTAAAAAAAACTAATTTTTTTTTTAAAAATGTTAAATTTTTGTCTATATTAACATAAATAAACCAGACACTACGTTTCAGTTTATGCTGTAACAGCAGCAAATGAACGGGAAAGTTCATGGGGTTGTTATTGTGAAAATGACATGAAATTACCCTGCCTTGGCGATCAGTTTTCAGTTAGTTGGATGGGCGATTCTGACGAGGTTTAACATTAGTTTCTTCAAGGTGCATATGTTAAAACGTTCTTAAGTTTAGTATTTCAGGAGGATCTAAGCTTGGAAACATTGAAAACACAATTCGAAATTGTAAAGCAGGCAACTAATAAAAGTCATGTGATGCATTATGGTGATTTTGATATTGCTGATGAATATGTCGCCGATTTTCAAGGCTGGAGTAAAAGTCCTAACAGGAAATATAGTGCTGTAGTTAGTGTTTATTTTGTTTAATGATATTTGTGATTAACGGCTTTCTT